GATACTTTTTCAAAAATTTCGAATTTTCAAATTTCAGTGAATACCTCCTCGATTTTCATGCTCTCCTGATACTTTTTCAAAAATTTCGAATTTTCTAATTTCAGTGAATACCTCCTCCATTTTTATGCTCCACTGATACTTTTTTGAAACTTTTTCATTTTTCAATTTCAATAAATACCCCTCTGACAGCGGGACAGCTGACGCAGTTACCGAGTCCGCTGACGGGACGACACCCCCATTGCGTATGGCGCCCTCCCGCTCTTGGAGTGCAGTACTACGATGCCGCTGGGGTCACTCAAACCCCCAGAACTGAGCCTCTACTTCAGTCAATCCTCTTCGACCCCAATCATCATTTGTCTAAGATGGCATACGTTTCTGGAGGTAAAACTCTATTGTATTTATTTTTGACCGTGCTTATTGTTGTCAAACAAAAGCTGAGTATTTAATCAGCTGTTTTTGACTCTTTCGCCTTCCTCTATTATTCTAGACGGAACAATTCGTGAAACACAGCCATGGAGCATAACTCGAATTTTCGGATTCTTTTCTGGAATATTCTGGGCCGTTGGGATGTTGTAAGTCTATAATAAAATAATTCATTTTTTACTCTCAGGTAATGAGATTTCGTGGTATTTTCTAACTTACCCGATTGTACCAGGTTATTATAGAATTATTAATTGAATGTTTAGTTTCAACACATTGATCAGTCCTAATACAACCAAATATGGAACTGGATACACCAGAAATTATCGCCCTGGCTCTGGGGGCTCTGGGTAAGAACCAAGAATCATATCCAATATTTTTAAAAATATTTTATCAATTATTGCTAGAAACTTCTCATGTCAATTTATTCTGAATTGCTAATAATAAACTCATTTCTGTGTTCTTTGACACTAGAAAAAAAAATCAGGTCCAATTTCATGTGAGAAATTTCCAAAACGTGATAATTGTATTTAAATACATTTCCAGGACAATGAAAATTAATTCAGATTTTAATTAATTATAGTCCACCACCACCGCCTTCGAAAAAATTCGGAGGCATCAACACAAAAGGCAGTATGAACATGCCTGGGGGGTGTAGTAGCTGTAGAGGAGGCTGAAATAAAGAGACCATCGGTCCTCAAATCAAATAAAATCTTCTGATAACCCGAATAGCCACAAATTTGTTCCCAATTCACTGTGAAATCACATTCCAGCTACATCTCAAATTCTGATAACATAATAACGAATAATTTTTTTTTCGCCTCAAGAAGAGGAATGAACTTTATTTTTCAAATTTTTAAAATGTAAAATCATTATAAAATAAAGATGAAACTATTTTTTAATCGTCAGTGGATCTCCAGATTTCTCCGACTCCAATTATTCACTGACAATGAGAAATATATTTTGATTGTGGAGTGAGAGGTTCACTGAAGCCATTCATCACTTATTTAGTTAAAAAGTCTTCACTTGATTTTTGTAACGAGTCCTGCAGCAATTGTTGTACCAGCAACTCTGAGCATAACTCTTCCGAGCTGCTTAGCGTCTCTGTACAATTCCAAACAAATTTGTTGATTCGTTTTTATTTCAATTATTGCACTCGAGTTTTTGGGTAAACATCTGGGCTTTTTCTTCGTTACTTCCCCAGTACTTTTATGCAATTGGGCAATTAATTTTGTGATGACAGCTGGCTGGACGAGAGATTGAACATGAAGAACTACTGGCACTCCCTTGGTGATGGGAATTGCCACTGTAAAAATGACAACATGAGCTTGAAAGCACGTTGTCACTGGAACTGGTCTAGATGGCGAGCAAATAATGTCTCCAACAGCTACGTTTTGTTGATCGATTCCAGAAAGGGTAAGGGATACGTGATCACCTGCGAACGCGTTCGTTGTCGATAGGTCATCGATTTGCATTCCTAAAGTGTAATAATTAAATAATTAATCCCACGAAAGTAACAATAACATGACAATAACACAAAACCAATTATGAAATAAAATGATAAAATAATGGAACCTTTAACTACAGCAATCTCATTGTGAGGTGATACAAGAACTTTGTCTCCAGCAGCGACCATTCCAGTCTCGACATGACCTGAGACACAGAAATTTGATCCAGTCCCTTTGAAAATATCGTTGACAGAGAAACGAAGGGGTTTATTGACCGGTCGTTCGGGACATTTAAAATGATCAATCACTGAGAGAAGAGTTGGGCCTGTGTACCTGAAAATTGTATGAGGGACTTCAATCAAATATTGTATCCAAATAAACTTCATTTACGTACCAACAAGAAAGTTGTTCTGCTTTAGGCGGCATAACGATATTCTCTCCAGACAGTCCACTGCAGGGTACAAAAGTAACTCTATCCTTGTACCCAGCTTGTTTCAAGAAAAGACTCATTTTATCGACAATCTCATTGAATCTGTCCTTTGACCAGTCTACGGTATCCAATTTATTCACTACCACTGCCAATTGTGAAACACCTGGAAATACAAAAAAAACAATAATTAAAAATCACTGCAATAAATTGATTAGATTTCACTTGAACTGTTGTTATAATTTCCCAAATAATTACCTAATGAACGTAAAAGGAGAGCATGTTCTCTGGTTTGGCCACCACTCTCAAATCCAGTTTCAAATTCCCCTCTGGTGGCATCGACAACCAAAAGTGCAACGTCAGCCTGTGTAGCCCCAGTGATCATATTGGGAATAAAATCTTTGTGTCCAGGAGCATCAAGGAGAGTTACAGACTTCGTATCAGTCTCAAACTTGGAATATCCAATGTCCATAGTAATGCCACGTTCTCTTTCTTCTCCAGTCTCGTCCAACACCCAGGCATAAGCGAAACTCTGCTTTCCGATCTTCTTGCTCTCCTGCTGGTACTTGTGAATGAGTTTCGACGACACCTGCCCCAGATCGCACAGCAATCTCCCCAGGAGTGTGCTCTTGCCAGCATCCACGTGGCCCACAACAACGAGATGTAACTGCTCCTTGGAGTCTCCACGATTTTTCTGATAAATCGAGAGAACGTCTCGTTTATCCTCCTGAGTCTTTCCACGAGTCTCGGTGTCTGGTGTTGCACGACCAGATCCAAATGGAGATTGACATCTTGGTGACGTCGATGTTGAGACCTCCAATCTTTTGGTACTGCCATCCTTTCGCCGGGGATCGGGTGAGTGAGGCAGTGATGCTGGACTTTGAGATCTTGGTGTTTCAATTCGAGGTGAAAATATTTCATTGCCTTCTGCACCGAGGTTGAAGCCTTTTATCACCGTTTTTGTCGCGGCTGGCACCACTTTTATCGATGATGAAACAGCCACTTGCACCACTGGCTTTATTAATTTCACACCTAAATCATCACTCTGTCGTTAATATAATTATTCCTGTGGAATCAGTAGACCCAAAAAAGACAAAATCAGAGATACACAAAGTATAATGCGGTTGTGATGAATTTATCTGTTGCTTTCCATCACTCATTGTTTAAATTACTCAAGCAAAATTATCTACTGCCTGCTGAGTTACCGATTCCTATTTGATTATTTGATTTGTTAATTTAGCGGATACTAAAGAGTATAGGAAATGAAAAATACATCAGACATCATCAATTTGTTTAGAATTTATCAACTGTTTTTGATGATTACAATTCTCGATTATTAAAATAATTAAAAACATTTCGAACTTCGGAAAATTGATTCAATTCTAAATGAATAATTTTAATTAATTAGCGAATTGTGTATATGTAGAATCTATTACGCATGGAATATTATGATACAATTGATTGAAAATAATAATTAGAGATGATAATAAAGATATCATTTTCTCTTTAAATTCATCAAAATGAAATTATCAGGGGATGGACATGTGAAATCAAAACGTTTAAGGTTGTAGGGAGTCTTGAGATGGGATTTAACGTAGGGCTTTTTTGGTCGCCACCTTCGACACAGTATTTTACCGAATAAAGATGCACACTCAGTCGCATGAGACAATTTAGTAAATCGAAGTTTGTTCAAATTAATTTCACACTGTTTCAACGTATCTAATTGTTCTACGATCATGGATGACGGCAATGGTTCTGCTGCCATAATGTCTTTGAGATCATATTTATTCAATTCCCGAGGATTTTTTTTATCTGTCATTGATAAAATTTTCGTTTGCCTCAAAGCTGTTGTCAGATCTATTAAGAATTCATTTGCAGTCTTTTCGAGAATCGAATCATCTTTTGAATCGATTTCGGTACCGTCGACTTTTTCAGTTTGAGATTTAATCTCTGATGATAATTGCATATCAATTAAGTTTTTCGTCAGGGTCTGAACGTTCTCATTAAGTGGTGTATCATTTTCTTCGAGTTTAATAAAGGGAGGGGAAATTACAGGAATTGAATTAGTGGATTTCAACGAAAGCTTGGGAATAACGAAATTGGAAGTCCGGCCTGAGGAAATCGGCGAGTGATTTTCAGTTATTCTCAAAGCGCCAAATAATGTTTTATCTGCTTTGAGGCTTAAGTCTGAATTCTTGTGGGAGTGATCAGCTATCAGTGCTGATAGGGAAGAGAATTTTAATTCAGGCTGACCTCCTGTGCTTTTAATCGCTCCGAATTTTAGAGGACTTTCAGCATTTTTAACACTGAATGGATTTTTAAATGGAGAAGATTTGTTTGGAATGAGTGGACGTTTGAATTGGGAACCGAAGGAATTCGTGAAGTTTAAAGATGATCCTGAGGAACCTTACCTTACACGATCAAATAAACATGAAACAAAAATAAAAAAAAACTATATTAATTAAAAGTACAAATGAAACGAAGAATTTTGTATTGATGCGATAAATTGTAATAAATCACTGAATAATTTCTAAAATTCTTCTAAATCTTTCGTTCAAAAATAATATGAAAATCGATTTTTCATCATACATTCCAAGACTTTCATTTTCTCTCAGTGATTAAGAAGAAAATCTAATAAACGATAACTCTCTACGAAATAAGCAATCATATCGATCTTTATCGATGTATTAAAATTTACCACACTACAAAAATGAATATTGATTAAAAAATCATACCTGTTTGCGAGTCTAGCCTGTCCTTCGCCATTGCGGCTGCTAATAAACGAAGCCAATGGACTGAATGACATATCCTCAATAGTGCAAACAATAAATACCATTAGTTATTAATTAAATACTCACGAAATTCATTTTTCTGAGGTGTAACCTTCAAAATCTCATCAAGAGCAACTTCAGCAATGAAATCAGCCTTGATGATTTTATCCGTAAGTTCAGCCTCCGATACTGAGTCTCCAATAATATTTCTAATGAATTCAATGCACGATACGAGTTTTGCAGCGTCAATTTCCGAGAGTTGTGGTTTCTCCTCAGTTCCACACGCTTCCTCATCATCTTCATTGTCTTCTTTTATATCCGGTTCAGTGAAAAAGGATGCAATATTCTGCTGTTTATTACGATCGAACATGAATTGTTCAGCTAAAAATAAAAGTTAAATTCTCATTGACTTATTCAAACGAATTGACAACAGTCTTTTCGAAGAATTAGAATTGATTTCAGAAATGACTAATTTCTAATTAAATTCTATAAACGTACCACTAGGAGATACACAGTAGTCGTCTTCTACAGAGTGTCCATAAACGTCGTCATAACCATCGTACTCTGAAAATAAACATATTTATTTATAAATAATCCACTGAGAATTTACTGAAACAATAATTAATGCGATGACGAATGATATTGTGAAGAAACAAGCAGTCATTGTCTTCTTAACCTCATTACATTCGTAAATGAAATTTTGTATTTACCATCAGAATATTTCATACTCCGCACGTCCCGATGCCGTGACATTGCTAATCAGATTTTATAGTCTCTAGTCGTTTTTATAAATGATCACATCCGTGACATTCGAAATGATTTTATTATTATTCTACGTAGAGCACCAGCTGCTGTTTGTAGTGACCAAATTTTCACCTGTTCTTTTTGACATTTGAAAGCAATGAGGATTGAGTAATCAGGGGAGGAATTCTGCGCGTTTTATGTTAACATAAAATCTCATTATTTCGCTCCCGCCAGGTGGAGCGCAGGCTTTATTTATGTCACATTTCAATCGGTTTTGGAACGTTTGTTTGGTGCGTAATAAAGGGAGGGATGAGAATTACAGTATGGCCGCCGTGCGTTCAACTTAG